CCCCCTGCCCCCTCCCCCATATATATTATTGTTATATATCATATATCAATATATCATTGTTGCATCCTCGTTGGGACGAACAATGCCGCGACACGATGATGACAGTCCCTCCGCAACTCACCTCTTCCCTTCCTTCTTTCTCCTACCCCGCTAGCTTTCGTCATCCACCCCCGGCCTCAAGTGTTCACCTCAGCTGTTGGAAAAGTCTGTGGCCGCAGAACATGTTCAATTCCCCGCCAGGAAAGGCTCACAGAGGAGCAAAGAGAGCGAATAGTGCATGACGCGGAGAAGCTGATCGATTCTTGACTGCAACTGCGCGGTCAAACTCTACTGCCTTGCGAACCTATCATCAATCATGTGTGGATTTATTGCTTGCCTCTTGTTGTATAATCCAGTTTTCAAGGAGGCTCGGAGTGTTGACGCAGGCAACGGGGCAAGGTGGTTGGCGATCAGCCATAACAGTTTTGTCTTGAAGTGTGGCTGGGGTCACTGGGCTTAGTTTTCTCAAGCGGAACTAGCAAGTAAAACAGCGGGTGGCAGCGGGTGACGAAAGCAAATTGCGCATGCCGTGACTTTGGACTCTTCCTGTGAGCCCAGTTAGCACCCTCATGCTACAAGAACACCTAGGTTCATGTCTCCCAGTCAAAACAAACCGGGCACCAAAACAAACTTAAACACTTAAACCATAACTGCCGCATCCATACTAAACATATCATATGCAAACGTACTCTTGCTACATGCATGAGATTCTGCAGCACACGCAGCCGTCAGAAAAAGAAAGGGATGGAAAAGGCCTCAAACAGAAAAAATGGCAAAGATGCAGGTCGACGGCAACTAGTGAGGGACAACAGGTGGCAGCCACAGCCAAGGAAAACCCACGCGCCTACAATGTGTTTTGTGCAAACTGTGAGCACACTACCAATATGGTCAGAAGCTCAGAGGTGGACAAAGATGAAGCAGCTCATCCGTTGTTGCAGCGTCTGAAGGTTTCTGGAAAACAGCAGTTTACTTCGCCAGAAGTGCACTTTTTCATTTGGTGCCTTGGATGCAGAGATCAAAAGGATGTGTATCAGGTTCCTCAGGGAAATCAATGAAGCTAGACTGCTAGACAACCATTGATACAGATCCCTACTTTGACCCACTTGGGTTCTCTCCTCAGCATGAGTTATGGCAGTTATGGAATGTTATTGATAGTTTTGAACAGTGTTTGCGCCTCATGACATTTTGACAGCAGTTTGACAGCTCCCTGCAGGAGCCTGTGCCGGTATGGCCTTACGCTACTAGGTTTGGCAATGCTCCATGCCGGCTGCTCAGCGTAGCTGTGTCAAAGTGCCTGGGGGTTCTATAGGTCTTTGCTGCGCTTTCCGGAGCTTCCCGGCTATGAATTCAAAAGAATCGAACGAGGTTGTGACAATGCAGTGCTACAGCAGATACTGTCTTCAGTACCCTTTGTGGGCTTGACACTCAGAAGCTCATAATATGTTGAAGTCTCTCCAGACATCTTCGATGTGCTAGAACGTGACAGGCTTTGGCTGCGTACTACACTTGTACAGTATCTGGGCTGCAAAATGTTATAGACATCAGTGATGTTGCAAAGTGGATGCATACATCAGCGCTCCCATTTCAGGAATGTGCTGCTTTCAAGAACAACTGCCTCTGATTCGAAATGAAACATGAAGTGGTGTTCACGCCTCCCTTCTGGAGATGGCAATGGAGAGAGAGAGAGAGAGACCCGGGTTGTTCGGGTCTGGAATCGTCACAATGTTCTGGAGGCTTTACCAGTCCTCGCCCAGATTGTTGTCCAATATGGTCGGCTTGCGTCGGACGCTTAAGATTGGAGCAAGTGAACTTAATTATCAAAGCGTTGCGCGTTGGAACTTCGAAACTGCAAGTGCACAAAGCCAAACTTACACTGGGAATCACTTGAAACTGCCTGAGGAAAACTGTTTACAATGGTTGGAAGGAAAGCTTGATGTCCCGGAACGATGTCTACCACCTACTGCTGAAGGTTGGCAAGATGTTGCATCAACCCGCTATTGTCCATGTACTGTCATTTTGTTGGTGTGGAAGGGGAACAAAAGGTAAGTACAGAGGATGCACTGCAACATACTGAAACGTTTGGCACTTTGCATGGGTTTCGATGGTGCTGGACAGCTGGGTTGGGTCTGGCTTAAACCCTCCTGGCTGGAGGAACTGTGTCGAGCCATTTTCAATGGAGCGCTTGCTTTTGGATTTCTTTTGTGCTGCACCCGGTTTAGCTTCCAAAAGATCGGAAGTTGATATGACATGACTAACGTGGACTCATGTCTTCTGATGTCAGACTTTGTAAGACTAAGACTGGATTTCTCCAGCTTTCAGCATGTTGCGCGATTTGACTCTCAGAACTTGGTCTCAGGTGGGCTCCAGACATTTTGCAGTTTGCCAACCAGAGGCTGTAGAATCTACTGTAGAAAACAGCTTGGGATGATCTTGCCGTCTTGCAAAATCCAACACGGAGAAAATGGGTGTCTAATTGAAGAAAAAGACTTTCAAGAGAGAGAGAGAGAGAAATCCATGGACAATATCACAAACTATATACAAACTAATACAAAATATCATAATCACAAATTTTAGAAATATTTATCACAAATTTCGCAAACAGTCGATGGGCCAGGTACCCTGTGCGCATCTCTGTGGCCATTGTTTTCGCATACCTCGCGGGGACCTGAATGACCTGAATGACCTCACGTTGTTGACCCTCGCCAAACTTTCCATTTTTCCCTTTAACATCCTTTCAGTATCGTTAAGGATGTACTTCCAAGTGTACTTCCAAGTGTACTTGGAACATCTTGGAACATCTTGGAACATCTTGGAACGTTTCAAAATGTCAAGGCCAGCGATGCTGTCTTTGCCCTCCTGGCACAGGCTGGCAATCGCTTGCAGGATCTTAAGCCATGAAAACCTTTCTGTCGACCGGACGCGGTATTACTATGTATTACTTGCTATTACGGTTGTGATTTTGCGGATTTACTGGGCTTTGCGGCTTTGCCATGATTCTAGTGATCTGACATCTCAGCCACAGCTCTACGTATCTCTACGTCTCCACGGCTCTTTCTGTGTCAGGTGGTGACTCGGATCCTCCTTCTCAAGTTCGGAAGGTTTTGGCTGATCGGTGGAAGCGATCACACGCCCGGGCCCATTCTTCATATTCTTCGTGGCGTGCGCTGGCATTTCTTGGATATTTTTTGGAAACACGCAGCCAATCTGACGTCTCATGATTTGACACCCAAGGTGGGAAGAAGAACAGAGACTTCAGGTGGCACACTCACACGTTCACATATGTTCACCCTCTTCACACTTTCAGAATCAGTTGTGGAAGTCTGAAATGGCGAAGTTTCCTCTCTTGCTCCCGGTGGAGTTCTTCACGTTTCTTTGCTGCGAGCACTGTGAGCACTGTGAGCACTGTGAGCACTTGCAAGGCAGATGCCACACCAGTCAAAGGCAAAGTCGACTGAGACATGTCATACTTGCGATATCTTGCGATACTTGGGCTGTCCGCAGCCTCGAATTCAGAACGCCAGAGCCCCCAGAGCCCAGGACTTCTCAGGTGCTCTTGTGACATGGCCATGGCCTAGAGCCACCTAAGGCCACCTAAGGCCGCCCAAGGGTCGACAATGTCGACGCCTTTCTCCGCAGATGAAAGCAGCGGGAAAAAGCAGTGCTGATACTGCGAATATGCATGAATATGCCTGAACACATACAGGGGGGCGCGCAATATCAGCTTGTAAATATTTATAAATATGTGTACGGATATATATCTTTAGTAAATGTTCTATATCTATATAATCATTAATATCATATAATCCAGATGCAGCAGAAGAGCAGACAGCTGTCAGTGTATCTATTGGCCGTGGATAGTCTTTGCATAGCCGCATTCCGAAGACATTGCACTGAGTTCCTGCGTTTTGTTTCGTATTGGCTCAGAGGGTCCCAAAGGGATTGCTTCCAAAGTGTTCTGCTAAGTTGGTTTCCAAAGTTCACGTCACAGATACGCATGATGCACTTCTAAGGACGGATCTTGAATTTGGAACGTGATGTGGTCAATTCCTTCTTGCTATAAGGAAAATGCTTGGATTGCCGCGAGAAAACCTCGCAGCTGAGGCCGCTGAGTCTGAATCAGTCAATTTGCTGTCAGCAGATGGGTTTGCAAAGTGATTCTGGTGTTCCTATGTGTTCCTGGCATTTCCTGGCCACATCTCGGACCAACTTGTTGGCAATTTTATGATTTGTTGTCAGGTGCCCAGCAGAAACATATCCGACTCCAGCAATGGCTTGGGACAGTTCATCTAGTTCAGACGAGCCACTCCAGCAAAGAGCATCTCGAAGGATCTTATCAGGCAGAACGCCTCGACAAATCCCTCTTCTAGCAGATTCTTCTGATGAAGAAATCGCTTCAGTGTCTCCAAAAATCGTGAAGCCAAGAGAAGGCGAAAAGGCGGAACAGGATGCAAAAAGCGAAACCGGAGATAGCAGAGATAGCTCACCTGCAAAAGAACTCTCACTAGCGAAGTTCGCCCCAGAGAAGCCAGAGAATGTGGAGAGCAACGTTGCTGACGTTGCTCCAGCCGACACTTCCCTGGTGGATAGCAACAGTGAGCGCAGCGAGTCCAAGAGTGTGGTCAGGACCCAGCGAGATTTGAAGACATTTCAAGCACATTTGAAGACTTTTAATATATTTTAAGTTTATATAATAAAGACAATATATATATAAGAATGAAAAAAATATAAAGATATATAAAGCAATATAAAGCATATTGTGTTGGTTTCTGATTCATCCCGGAGGTCGCCGGCCGTATTTGGAGTTGTAGTATTCCCAAAAGTTGTAGCGGACATTGCTTTTCAGGACGGGCTGGCGCTTCAAAGCCCAAGACAGAGCTGTGGACTCCGAGGGAAACTGCGCGGACAGGTCAAAAAGTTTGCATCTCAGTTGTTCAGATTGGATTCCTCAGAAGTGCCAGGTGATGACGGGCATGCAGAGTTAGAAGGATTTTATTATATTTTATTTCAAAATATATATGTTTGTTGAGATCTTGAATTATAGTCGTCTTTGTGAGGTCCACGTAGTCCAGGGCGACGAGCTGCTCGCTGGAATAGTCAGGTGCGAAAGTGGGGGCACCGTGAGACCACACGAAAGGTGACTCCTCTTGACCCAAAATTGTTTGACCGAAAGGTGAAAATCCTTTGATTTGACCGTGAGGCCATGAAGATTCAAGAGCGACTTGGCTATCACGGCTTCGTTTAAGTGATCTTGGAGAGGACATGGATTTTTGCTTCAAAGTGTCCCAACACCAAGGACCTCAGAAACGCAGGTACCTTGGGCATCCTTGGGCTATCGTAGCAGTATGAAGTATGCCTTTCATGAGCTTCGCTGTGAGGTGTTGCAATCGTTTTGGTCCCCTTTTCTGCAGGTTTTTGAACGGCTCTACAACGATTTCCTGCAAAAGACGCAGGCTGTGGTCATCTTTGGTATCTTTTCTGGTCCGCAGACGCGAACGTGTCTAGATGAAGGTTGAGAAGTTGGCGTCAAAAGAGCCGAGGGTCAAGGAGTCAGAAGGGCAGGACAGATCCCTTGGGAGCAGCACTCTGGATTCTTACTACTTTTGATTTATTTGACACTTTTGACACCTTGTTCTTTAGAAAGAAATGCTTGTCAAGAACTGAGAAATGTCGACCGACATGGGTATAAGATGGTAGAAGTAGTGCATGTTCGTAATTTGTGCCGTGGTGCAGGTTTTTGACAGGCTGTATGAGGACGCTCTCGTCAAAAGGCACAAAAGAGAGGCTAGATGGTTTGCGCAGACTACGGTCAGGTACTCTTGATCGCTACTTTTGAGACCTTCATGGAACTGTGAGTCATACTTGTTCGAAGAGGAAAATTCCCAATAGACTTGTCAGAGAGGCTGCCGAGAAGCGCGAAGCCAAAGAGAAAGAAGAAGAGCAGCAACTTCTCCGACTCCAGGCCTGTCACAAGGGAAGGCCCAAAGGGCATTAGAACATATTGGAACACCATAAAACAAGCCTTTTATACATGTCACGTCCCTTACACGTCATTTGGAAACACAAAAAGCCAAAGCTTAAAAGTTTGGTGCAAGGCTCCTGAGGAGCAAGTGATGGCCATGTGCCAGCGGCTCTATGATAGGCGAAAGGTGAAAGAGTGGGGTTTCTCAGCTTCTCAAAGGCACAAGGCTTTCTGGTCTTCTGACGTCAGAAAGGGGAAGGCAACATAAAGAACAGCAACAAATCGACAGAGGCAGCGGAACGGAGAGTATCAGCAGCATCGACATGCATCAACATTGAAGACCAACAACTGACAACCCATGGAGGGGGTGCTTCACTGCTCGCTCTCCAAAGCACAAAAAGATCAAAAAGCGACCACCACTACCACCACAAACACTAGCTGCGGCGGCGGTTATTTCATCGTTCGTGGCAGGCAGTATGTTGCAACACTGCTCAGCAATCCGTGACAGCCCAACAATAGCAGGAAGAGGGTCATAAACGTAGCATAAAGGCGGCAAATTGCCACAGATGCCACCGATCCGGTTTGAACCTGGCTGCCTAAGGACGACAGCTTTGGAGCTTGAAACCCAGCAACTGCAAAGTAGAAATCCTCGCTGAATTTATGATTATATATATATATTGCATATTTATTATTACAGTACATGATGTAGATTGGCGTCGGGATTAATATAATATATTGTAGAGCTTCGCACACGCCCTGCTGTCAAGAGGAGTTTATGTTGGCAGCACAGGTTCAAACAAGGTTGGTACTGCAGGGGAAGCTGAGGCTTACCCAAAGCAGCAGAAATAGGCCGAAAAGTGTGATAAAATCCCTGAAGACTGATTGTTGCATTTTAAATTTTAGTGTGCCCCAAAAATCATCACATGGGTTGTGTTTTCGGCCTCGGAAGCCAGAAGCCACGGAATTTACGAGATGTTTTCCCCTTTGGTAGGACAAATAAATCACGGTATTTACATTGTATTTACACTGTTTATTTGGCCAGCGCCTTGCAAAAACACTGGTATTTACACAGTTTTCAGCATGTTGCAAAACGTGGTTTCTATATGCGAAAAGTAGAAACACTGTATTTTTTAACGAGGTTTTTGAAACAATCACCAGAAAATTGCTTAAACATTAGCCCAAAACCGATGTCCGGAAGCATCTTAATCCGGCGATGTTCGTGTATCAATACGCATCAATACGCCATAGCTTTAGCTACCAGGGGCGCCCCTGTTTTTGTTTTGGATTCAACCCTACCAGGGCATAGAGTACTGGGCACAGTTTATATACTCTGTCAAGCTTGCACCTTAGGCGCTGCACTGATTGGCCATTGGCCGGTGGAGGAACGCTAGTGCTTGCGGCCTGGGAAGACGCTCTAGCTGATCCTAACTGGACGTTATTGCCCCTTTTCAAGTGGTAGCGGAGCAGTGATCCTGGCAGGGACGCGTTCAATCACGGAAGTTTTGGCCCAAATCTTGTGAATATGCTTAAGCTTCCTTTGGGTGCAGGAGGGGCCACGTGAAGCAATGCAGATATCAGATTCTAATGTGCTGCGCATGACTGGCCACTCAGATCTCAGGAATTCGGGCTGCGTCTACACGTTGCTACCAGAGCTCAAGCGTGGTGGGCCTGAGCACATGGGCTTTGGACCAAGTTGGCATTCAATCCCATATTCGGTTCCGGAGCAGCTTGTACAATCGTGCTTCTTTGGTCATATCATTTTGCATCTTCCAAATGTCTTTCTGCTTGGAGCTAACAAAATATGTATTCGACGTCACTGGTCATCCTCGTCATTATTTTGGGAACCAATCATAGGGTTTGGACCTTCGTACAAGCAATTACAATGCAAGCCCGGTTATGTTGGTTGGACTTGCTGGTTGATAATGATAATGAATCACGGTCACGGCCCCGGCCCTCATGCCATCCTCAGCATCAGCAACATCATCATCATCATCACCACCACCATCACCATCACAATCACCATCACCACCATCACTACCGTCACCGTCATCATCAATCCTAGCCATAATCACATATCACATACTAAACGTCCCCTCCCCCCAATAATCAGCACCTCAGGTAGTTTTTACTATTAGGGTGTATTTATTCTTAGGGAACCCTATTAATAGATAATAATAAACACTATTTTTTACGATTTCAAAATCAATGAAATTTCCTTTTATGACGCAATTAAAATATTGCCAAAAATTGGCTTCGAAACGGGCCCTAGTGATAAATTAAAAGCCCTAATATGAAAACTAAAAATTTTCGGACGGACCCTAATAATAAACACCCCGGGGCTGACTAGTTTTTATTATTAGGGGGCGAAACCCACAAATGGTAGCTTTATTTTTAAATTGTTTTCTAAAGGGGATCAATTAAAAGTCAAATTGGCCAACCTGAAATTTTCCCAAATGGGAGATGGACCCTAGTTTTTATTATGTGGGGGGTGTTAGTAATAGGGGGAAAGGATTAATCTAATCACCTGTAACATCATCACTTCAAGATTATCACTATTACCATTACCAGTGTCATTACCACAATCACTGGCGTTACCACCATCGTCAAAACCATCACAGCCACCACCATCATTATTTTGACCACC